CAGCATCTACTTCCCTTGCTCCACTTTTTTCGGTTTCATAACAACAGAAAGTCTGAGTAATTATACATCTAATTATAGATTTATAAAGGAGAAAAAATTCTGTAAAAGGCACCCTTACAAGGGAGTTTCAAATAACTCTATTCAGTGATCTAGAGTTATCGGAGAGCAAATTTAGAAAATATTCAGTAAGGTTAGGATTGGTAAAGACTACTGAGTTAGTAAGAGGCCATATAAATTTCTACTGGCGAATATGTAGCAAAAATTTTATATGAAGACATTAACTTACATTACTGCCAGGTAATCATTCAATTGCCCTAAATAAGGTCATTTGTGATCTTAAATTAAAACTTATGAACACAAAGCTGTTTTTCACCTCTTTCCACTAAGTTTATTATAAGGAACACTGGACATTAATATATTTTGAACTTCAGACTCAGGCTGAATTTCACCCCTCAGTTCTGCTTCACTTTTTCTCACTGAGCCACTTGACCTCTGAACACCCGTTTTCCATTTGGTAAATTTGAGGATTTCATAGCCTAAGAGAGTCTAAGAACAATAAAACATAGAGTGAAGGTCTAACCTGGTAAAGATTTATGAGAATTTCAGATTAAACAAACAAACAAACAAAAACTCACCAAATACCATGATTACTTAAGGAGCTCAGAAATAGCTGGTCACACGTGTAATTTAGGATCACTAAGGGAACAGAGGTATTTAATTTATTTCCCAACTCTTTTCTGCTTCCACCTGATGAATCGGTTCTCTGGTGGAAGTGAGGAGTGAGAGCTTCAGGCTGGAATGAAAGGCAATCTTCCTCATTTTTCTTAGAGTAGACAGATATCAATCTGGCTCAGACTCTAAAGATGTGATGGTACCCAGAATGCTTCTAGTTAGGGGCAGGGGGGTTCTGCTACTTCTGATGCCTTGGAAACAGGTGGCACAGAAAGGACAGCTTGGTGAGAAGCAAGAGAATCCCGATGGGTCTAGGTGGCTCTCCTAAGTTATTCTGAGGAATTCTCATTCTGTTATTCTGAACACCCATGAAGCCTGGTCTCTTTTGCGCTGTGACAGCAAGAGAAGACAAGTCCCTCCCACAAGGCTACATCCAAGTCAGAGCAGAAGATAACAGTGCCCAGTGGACAACTATATCCCAGGAGGCAACTGCAAAGCACAGGGGAATCCTCAGCCTCACTTTTCAGAAAGTAGAAAAATACTTGTGATTTTGTTCCCAAGAGCTATCCTCTGCCACATGGAGTGCCATTCAAAACGTCACGTAGCACTTTTGCTAGACGAGATGACGTCACCTTGGGGGTTAAAATAATAAGGCAAATTCTTGGCAGTTTTCAAGTTTTAAAAAATGTGCCCATATTTTCACTGGGTAGGTTCTAGAAGGCCACATTTCCAAAGGGAAAAGGAAATTCTAGGATTATGTGGGCATGTATTTTCTGAGTCATGTCTATTCCTTCCCCTTTTAGTTAATTCTAAGAAAGTTTCTTCAGCTGGTGAGAAGAAATTAAAATGCTCAAAAGATATGTAATTCTTTAAAAAGTCTTCAAGACATCTACTGATAGAAAATGGGGGCAATAAAACATCTTGAATTAAAGAATTGCTGCCAATGAAGAGAAAAGAAAAAAGAAAATACATGGGACGAGAGCATAAAAGAACAGGGGAATTCAAAGAGCCAGAAATTCCGAGGCAAAAAGTGAGGGGAAATTCAACCAGGCAAGTAAGTTTGTAAAAACTATTTTTATGAACAATTAATCATTCTATACCCCATTATTCTAAGCACACACTGTCACCTCATCAAATATAAATACTTATTATATAAATCTAATTATATGAAAAAGCAATACTTTCAATATTTTGAGAAAAATCCAACTATTAAAATAACCATAGGTTTCTACTCCCATTTCTTCTCTCTCTCTCTCACACACACACACACAAACACTGAACAGTACACATACAGAAAAGACAGCCTTGTACAGATCTCAAGGAACCCTGGCTGGTATGACTCAATGGACTGAGTGCTGGCCTGAAAGCCAAAGGATCACCAGTTCAATTCCCAGTCAAAGCCCTTGCCTGGGTTGCAGGCCAGGTCCCCAGTTGGGGCTGTGTGAGAGGCAACCACACACTGATGTGTTTCTCCCCCTCTTCTCCCGTCCTTCCCCTCTCTCTGAAAATAAATAAAATCTTTTAAAAAGAATAAATAATTTTTAAAAAATCTAAAGGCAAAGTTGAATCATTGCTTCTCTTTTAAACTGCTTTCCAGATTTTTATCACACCCTTTGCAATCTAACAACATCAACAGAAAGTGAAATTCAACCTAAATGCTACCAAGTGTATAATTCCAGTGTTACAGGTGTAGAAGGAGGAAAGACAATGTAATTTATTTATGGTAAGTTCTATGAAAAAAGATTTGAAGCTGACCAAAGTCAGAACATGATTAGCTGTTCAGACTGACACTATACTCAAATTAGTTCTATATATGGTACATCATCAAGCACTTCTACAAACCAAAGTACTGTGAATCTTCCATCAGACATTCAATAAAAATCCCAAATAGCTTATATCCTAGAACTGAATCTCATTTAAAAAAAGACAAAAGAGTATTTCATTATTGCAAAGCAGCTGTATTCAGCTGCACTAGACAGAGGCAAAGCATAAGAGTGTAAGTGCCCTGGACAAACTTCCAGTCCTCTAAAAGAGAAATATTAATAACAGAATACAAAAAACACTAACACAAACAACTGGTGCTTCTTTCACTAGGAGAAATGATGCACCAAAAAAATAATTTTGAGAACTTGTTGACCTAAAAATAAAATGCCAAAGTGAGAGGCAACAAGTGAGATCAAAAAGAATACCTACTTGGGAAGCACTAACATAAGCTGAAACCTAAACAAATAGTGTTTTAATTGGGGTGAAGGCAAGTTTTTGTTGTCGTTTTGTCTTTATGAGAAAGGAAAGGAAAATAATTACATGAGTAGAATAAAGGAATTTGTACAGGTGCACATAAGCTCAGTGATCCTATAAGTATACATGGTGGGTGCTAATTCTAAAGTGTCTCTCTCATTTTCAGTCCATAATCAGGATGTTTGCTTCCTGTTAGCTTTGTAAACAGCTGTTTGAACCACAGTGTTGGTTTGGCCCAGTCCATGTTCAAACATTCCAAAGGTTTGAGTGGTGAGACATGCAAGGCAGTTCCTCTAGAATAGCTGCCCAGGCTCTATTTTTAAATGGCTCCACTTATGTCAACTTTTCACAAACTACAGTGAAGTTCTATGCAGCAATACTAAATTCATTTATTAGTAATGTTAGGATGGGAGGGGTGGGACAAAATGGTGGCTGGACTACAACCCAAAATGGCGGCTGAACTACAACCCGGAAAAGACAGCTGACGTCAAACCAGAGAGCAGAAAGGGCGGGCTTTAACCTCATAGAAACCTGAGAAGGAGAACCACCCATGATATACTGCTACTACTATGTTCAAAGGGGACCAATCCCCAGCTCCCACAAAGACAGCCAACCAAAATAAAACCTGCCACATTCCCTGCTTGGGCATGACTTACGTGGCCCCACTCTGTGGACTGGAGAACCTCGCCAGGCGTGCAAACCCCAATAAAGCTCTATACTGCCTAACTTTGTGGCTGATTGGCATTTCGTCCTCAGTGGAGCCTAAGAGAACCTTTCAAGTAACATACCAAACTCATGGCAAAACAAAGTTTACTTCCCTGTGTTACTAATACTGACGGATTTATCTGGAGGATGTCCTTGTTGCTGAAATTTAGTTGTTAAATGTTCATTCGGTCTTAAACACAAGGAATTTCTATTTGGACAACCTACGCTGTCAGCATTATTAGATCTGATGTAAAATTTGTTTGAGATAGAGCCCTTCCTTTTTAGCAAGAAGATAAATTCAGCAAATCTTGAATCATTTCCAGGACTATACCTTAGGAAAACCTGAAAGAGGTGGTAAATCTGTATGTATTTAGATAAATAAATCTCTTCTCTAATGACTTACCAATAGGTTTTCCTAATGACTTAGGAAAACTTAGTTTTTCTAAAGCTGTTAATCCAAATGAGTGTGTATGTATGTGTGTGCGCACACACACACAAACGTACCAACTAAGAAGGAACATGCTAGGTAGGTGACTGAAAACTGAGGCAGATAGGCTGACTCAAGAACCTTATCGACACTTGTAATCATTTGCTTAGGAAGAGGTAGCCAATTTTTATTCATCTCTTACAAGTCCCAGACTAATCTAATATCAATAGATCTGAGCTCTGAATGAAATACGCCTAAAACCAAGAAGTTTCTGGCCTATTGATGGCATTTCAGTGAGCCTTCACATATGCCCAAAGCATGATTAAGCAAAGGTAGACACACTGTTTTTTTTAACGTAGTGGGAGCAAAGAACTTCATAGACATAAATACCTTTTGAAGTGTATAAAATATCTGTCATTCAGGTCTCAGCTCAGATATTACCTCCTCAGAGGACTGAATGGCACCCCCTCCCCCCAGAAATGTGCTCTATCACCTCACTTCTACTTTCCTAACAGCACTCTCTGAACTATCTTGTTTATTCATCTATTAACTTGTTTTGCTGGCTAGCTGTAGAATTAAGGCTCTATAAGAACAGGAATCCTGTATGTCTTGCTCACCAGTGTATTTCTAGTACATGCTGGGCACGATTATTTGAATATATAATTAGTTGAACAAATTATTTTCTTAGTATATAAGGCAGATGAAAATATAGCAAGAAATAGGAAAGCAATCTTTCTCTCTCTCTTTCTACACACACACACCCCCACACAAACACATCTAGACTACAGAATAGGTATTTGTAATTTTTTAAGGTACATTATTCAAAGATCTGAGGTAGAATATTTTGTTGCTTTAAAAAAATAATATATATTGCAATAAAATAACCCCCAAAATACATGTAAAGACAAGGTTTCTCCCATAACTTTTACATAAGTTAAAAATAATCAAATAAAGCAGCTTTAAACATGGTGATTTATTTTATGCAATTGTTTAAATCCATTGTTTAAAAATGTTCAAAAGGCACTTTAAAAAACATATTTAAAAATACATTTTCTGACTTATCGGTGATCACTTAAAATAATAAGCAAGTCACCAGACATTTTTAAACCATTCATGATTCTATTACCTTACATAATTTTTAGACTCCAAAACACAAACATTCACTGTGTAATATAGCACACTGCTTAGCAGTAAGATTAGTTTCCCTGTAATACACTTTATTAATTTGCAGGGCTCTGAAAAGGTATTTAAACTTAAGTGATATAAGCTGAAAATTAGAGAGGGAAGAGGAGTTAAAATAGAATACTAGTTTTAGGTTGGTTCCTCTTTAGGGAATTTGTGAAATTTTTTATTCTAATATATTAAAGTTTGTATTTCAACTGAAACAAGTAATTTTTAAATCAAGTTACATTTAGCATAAATTAAACCACAGGTTGTCCCCCAGATTTATTAAGTATGTTTCTGTCAGCCCTACTCTAAAAACATAGAGAAATCAGGCAAGTGAGTTTTTTTGTTTGTTTTTGAGAAAAGTAAGGGGGTGGTGGAAGAATCCAAATAACTTTGCTTCATTTAATAATTACATATCTAGAATTAGTTTAAAATTGTAGACTTTTAAGTAGGGCAAGTATCCTGAAAGCCAAGAGGCATTATTCTTAAGACATATGTTTTTACTCCTAAACTCATAGGGAAACAAAGTTAATAGCTATATAAAATTATCAGTAAGTGATATAAATACTAATCACTAATGACAGCCAAATTAACCTTGTGAAGGTAACACTAAGAGTAATTAGAAAATGGAAATTAATTAAAAGGAAATTTAAAGAGGGCAATAAATATAAAGAAGCAGAAACTGTCAAAGACATAGTACTATAAAATAAACAAAAAACTTAAATGGAGAATAAAAGGATAGACTCGATCTAATTAATCAAGTGGGGGATTTTTCAAGCCTCAATCAGATATAGTTTTATAGACTCAAGGAAGTAAAAAATTAATACTAAAAAAACAATTATGAAAATAATCAGCAAATTTAATGCCCAAATCCTATGAACATACTTCAAAAAATTATTAAAAACTGTTCAGTGATTTATTTTCAAATCTCACAGGAAGAAAACTCCTTTGAAGTTTAAGGTATTTGAAAACAAATAATTTAACTCAGGAACAACAATCTTATATCATCTATGAACTTTCCAATTGAAAATACAAGTATGCTGTTATGGAGGACATAAAATAGTAAAAGCCATGTTTTGAGACCACATTAAAATCACTTATGCAAATCAGAGAGATCTTAATTTAAAAGATAAATCAGTATCATCATGAAATCTAGTTGTATGTGCTCCATCAAATATTAGAATTTTTTTCCTTATTAGATCACATAGGACAGTCAACTGATTCTTGGAGGTGATGCAATTTTGATAGTATGAATTAGTAAAAAAATGTTCTGCATTTTACAAAATATTTTTAACTGTGGACGTTTTTAATGACATTCATTTACATGTGCTTTTAATGAATTCGGATGTACTTATTTAATGAACTTTTCCTGCCCCAATGTGAAATTGCTAAACTCGAAGAATTACAGATTTTACTCTGTAAGCCCTGATATTAGCCACTCTAAAAAAGCTAAAGAATTTTGTCAAAATAAATGATCCACTCACCCTTTAAGTCATCTTTAAAGTCTTCTACATTTAATTCAGTGTAATCTTGGACTACACTATTTAAAACATGCCCTATCTAAATCTTTGAAAAATACCTTACTTAACGCAGTGATGATTAGCATGTCTGAAGGATCATCTGCATCAGAATCACTTAGATCTCAGTGTAAAAAGGTTCTCAAACTAGCGTGAATGAGCCTCACCTGGAGGGCTTGGTTAAACATAACTGCTAGCCTCTAGTCCCTTTCTGATAAGATAGGGCCCAGGAGAGATAAGATCTCCAACCAGTTCCCGAATGACCCGGAAACTGCAGTTTACACTACTCTTTGAGAACCACAGCCCAAGGGTAGCTAGTAAGAATGAACAGTGTTGGGCCCTATGCTAGATTCAGGATTTATGGTCTTGGTTTGAAATCTGAGTTTTGACAAGCTTCCAGGCAAGACTATAAAAACCACAATTTGAGAAGCATTATGGCAATCTGGTTAATTTTACTATTACTGGCAAATGAGTAAAAGATGTCACATGTCTGTAAGTAAAAATGGAAATAATGCTAAATGACTAACTTCTGGGCTGACATGGTACAAAGAACACACAGGCTTTAAATAAAAATCTCATTATTAGCTTTGTGACAGTGGAAAAGTTACTTGAATTCTGAGCCTCTGTTTTCTCATCTACATAATGGAAATAATACCCAACCTGTGAGGATTTAATAACACTAATGTACACAGAGTACCTAAGCACAGTACTTGGCATATAGTACACATCAGATAAAAACTAGTGATTACTTATAAGAAATGTACAAAATAGTTCCTTCAACATGTGATTTAATTAAAGTAGATTTTTCATTCATTTGAAACAAATATTTACACTCCAAATTAACCATAAAACCTTAAACTTATTGCTCCATCCTCTGGGCCAAATGTTCTAAAAGCCATAAATATATTCACTTGTTTAATCCTCATAAAATACTTGTGAGGTAGGTAATATTATTGTGGCTAATTTACAGATGAGGAAATTGAGGCACAAAGAGATTAAGTAAATTGCTCAAGGTTACAAAGCTAGTAAGTGATGAAGCAAGAATTTAAATCCAGGCAGTCAGACTCTGGGACTCCAGGATTTTTTACATGCTAATTTCCTGTGAGTAAATTCTAATGCTTTTGGATGTTTATGATAAAACATTTATACTTGTAGTACCACAGAAAAGTACAACAGCAAATATGGATTCAAATTCATATGCACAGCAAGCTGAAGAGCTGTTCAAAGAATAGAGTGCCTTGAAATTCTGGCAGGTGAAACCACCATGAACACTATGAAACACAATTTAATAGGTATATATTGGTGTAAGTTTCTACAACGTGGGCAGAATATCCATAACTGGCCGCTAATAGGAACATCCTCTCAAATACACTATCAAAGAGGTCATGGTTTTGACATGTTTGGCACAATGAACTATTTAGTTAAGCAGCAGGGTCAATGGGTGACAGCCAAGTAAAATTAGCATAATGATAAACATAAGAGAAATGCAAATCATTTGAAACATGTAACATAGTATTACAGAAAGTCTGTAAGATATTGTTATGATACACTCAGGTAATTTTGGTAAAGATAACAAAAGTGAAAAAATTTTTTCCTTCCAGAAACTCTTGTATGTGTTTTTGATGGCAGTCTTGAATGGCTATTCTACTCAACTGAAATATTTATGCATCAGCAAAACAATCATCCCAAAATAGAAGGTGTTACAAAAGTAGGTTTACAGTTGTAAGTATGCAAAATAGCGTTCATTCTTGTTATTATTTATTAATTATTGTATTATTTTCCATATGAACAACTGTAAACCTACTTCTGCCCCATCCTGTGTATGTAAGCCAGCATTAAAATTCAGATGCTATTCACAAATTAAGTATTTGGTCTTTTAATATCTGACATACTTCAGCTTGTTTAAGAACTTTGCACTTTCTAATGTTTTTAATTAACTCTAGGTAAAATCCTACATTTAAATTATTTTGCCAGTGTAACTAATAACCACCTCAGATTCTAAAAATGAATTCCAAACTGCTTTAAACAAATTATGAAAGGCACAAACAAGTTTCTCACAATAGGGTAAGAATAAAAGGAACTATAATTACATGGTTGGAAAGAGTTTTAAATAATCAATTAAAAATGCTGCTTAGCATTCCTGAGAGTGGCACTGACATAAGAAAAGCTTTCCCCCCAAAGCATTACAGTAACTATTAGTTACCCATAATTAACAATGGGTAAATATGGGAACAAAATACTTAAAAATCCATGTTTACCAAATGCTAGCTGAAAATGGTATCCAAGAATGGTGAAACGTACTCAGCAGAGACAGCAGGGACTCAGGATAGATAGGCATACCTAAGGGGTACCGTGGGTTCTGTTCCAGACCACGTCAATAAAGCAAGTCTCACGATAAAGCGAGTCCTAATCTTTTTGCTTGTGGAGGATCTTGCCTTCAATTCGGTTTAAAAACTACATCTATGAAGTGCAATAAAGCAAAGCACAATAAAATGAGGTATGCCTGTATAAGATTTACTATTAATTAGAACCAAGTATGTATATATTACAGTCAAGGACCATGATCATTTCAAAATGTGATTTTATTAATGCACATTAAGACAAGTGCATTCTTATTCTACCTACTTCTGAAAGAAATACTGCCAATTTTAAAGTCACAGCAAAGTTTTGATTAGCCAAAACTGCACACTGGTGTGCGTGGAGGGGAGGGGCAGCAGGGAGTTTGGTTCATTGATACTACATTGCAAACATGAACTCATGTCTTGAGTTTACAAACAACACCAAAAACAACACTTCCTTCTAAAATTTTAAGGCAGATCTGTTTAACATCATGTGTGTGTTACTAATACGGTGCAGTGATGTTTTAACAAATTTTACTGTTTTAGCTTCCCAGTGAAAATAATACATGTGGTCAGGAATAGGCAATAAAATCTTTTCTAGTCCCCCTGCCTGGACAACATTATAAAATCACAAGTTTTTCATATATATATTACTGTATCAAAAACACATTTTAACAGACCTCACAGCTTATTAAAGCTTCAGCTGACAGTCAATTCATATGAAAGATTTCTAATAAGGAATGTTCATTTAGAATTCTTCACTGGGAGTCCAGTGTTCTATATAAGAAATGCAGAAGTTCTTCGGTGCAATGTTAGACATTTTACCTCTGTTCATTCATATTTTCTTTCAAGGTTTCCCAATTTTTGCCTTCGTATCTTCATTTTTGTATGCTCGACTTATTTCCTTTAGTATATTCTCAGGTAAGGCAGGTTGATATCTGTATAAATATCCATATGGACGTAGATGATAAACGAGGTATTCTAATTCATACATAGTTGTAGGATCAACATAATGAAAAGAAACTGCAAGATCAGAACAGCAACCAGGCCCCTAAAAAAGTGGTGGAAACAGGCATTATTAATAAGCAGCACACTGTTAAAATACAATATGTATATAGTGATAATAAAGGAAACACTAATTTTAACAGAATCAAGTAATTAAAGCTGGCAAGGTTTATTTAAAGAGGCACCTAATTTATTAGACATGTGGAAGAAAGGAATTTATAGAGTTCCTAATAATTTGAAACTGGACATAAGTATTTCTAATTGAAATAATATTCTCTCATACTCTACAGTGTTTTAGCAGTAAAATATCTTGAGGCTTTTTTTTAGGTGAAAGGAACAGCTATACAAAAGCTCTATTTCTTCAAATTTTGCTTTCTCTTCATAATTTTCTCACTGTAAATTTTTGCTGGGCTCAGCCTCAGAAAAATACCTTTGGAGCACTCAAGGACTAGAAAGCCTTGACCATAACGTATCTGCAACCTAATACTTTATCTGCACATTAACCCAAATAGTGTAGTATTTGAGAGAGTTCTGAGTCAAACCTAGGTTTGAATTCAGATTTTGCCTACTAGTGTATGGCATTGGACAAGTTATTAAATTGCTATAAGCTTCAATTTCCCTATCTACAAAAGATGGTTAAAGAAGATAATACGTGTGAAATGCCTGGTACTAAGCTTTATATATCACAAATGCTCAATATCTGAGCCATTATTGCTAGAACAATAACATTCAGGTGGCCCTCAGTAAGTTAACGGTTAAACATTTGTTCACTTATGGAATTCTCATACATTCCTAATACAGTTGGTATGAGAACATGTTTAAAACAAGACAAAAAATACAACAAATAAGAATGGAAAAGCATGAAAATAAAGAAAACAAAGAAAAAAACTGGTCACAGAATTAAACAGTCACAAGGTCATTTTGGGGATCAGAATTGGTATCTGGAGAATGTTTCATCCAGGTGACTCCAACAAAATTCAGATTCTACATAATGTCTTTGTAAGGACCCAGGGAGAACGACAGTTTGACAAGTTCCCAGAAAAGACTAATATTGACCTATTAAACTGAACATTTAATAATTCATATTTGAAAGTAGGTAGCTTACGATGCAGTAAAAATTATTGAGAAATTGTTCATTATATTTTCTCTGGCCTGATTCTCAACTTTTCCTTTGAAACAAACATTGTTTGTGAGATCTTGGACAACTATGTAGGCACCAAAAAATTACCTAGTGTCTACCTTTTATGCCTTTAGGGAGTATGATACAAAAAATATATGAGAATCACATATTCTTATAAACATATGTCATACTTGTGATATTAGTCAACTTGAGATTATCTAAATCAGCTCTGTCCAATAGGTATATATAAATCACATAACATGCTTTAGCCCTGGCTGGTGTAGCTCAGTGGATTGAGTGTGGGCTGCATCCAGTCAGGGCATATTCCTGGGTTGAGGGCCAGGTCCCCATTGGGGGTTTGTGAGAGGCAACCAGACACTGATGTTTCTCTCTCTCTCTTTCTCCCTCCTGTCCCGTCTCTATAAAAGTAAATAAATAAAATCTTTTAAAAATAAATCACCTAATAATAAATCACATAATGTAGTTTAACATTTTCTAGTAGCCACATTTAAAAAGAATAAGTAAAATTAATTTGAAGACATTTTATTTAACTGAATAAATCTGTATTGCTATTTTGTCAGTATGTAATTAATACTTTAAAATTATTAATGAAATCATTCTGGTTCCGCCAAGATGGAGGCGTAGGTGGAAGCACTGCACCTTCTTGCACAACTAAGTTTAAAAACAACAAAGTTTTAGCAACAAAAACACAGCCAAACCACAAAAAATTGAACTACACGGAAGTCTGACAACAACGAACCCTTTAGCCAAACTGGTAAGAGGGGCAGAGCCAGCAGCAGAGTGGGGTTGGGCAGGAAAAATCCACCAGACCAACCGGGTGAGCGACCCAGATGCACCAGCAGCTGTGGGCAGATCCCAGGTGTGGCGAAGCGGGCAGACCCACCTAGGGCACAGGGCAGTGGACCCAATGAGGGCTGATCTTGGTCACACATTTGCGCGCAGATAAACTGGTGAAGGAGCTAGCAGTGACATAGACCACGCAGGCCCCAGCAGCAGGAAGCGGCAGAGGGGACAGCCATTGTCCCTCTCTGACCCCGCCCCCACCTACAGCATCACAACCCAGCCACCTGGGTGGCCCTGCCCTGGTTAACACCTAAGGCTCCACTCCTCACACGTAACAGGCACAAACAGATCAAAACATGGCTCAAGAACAACTCAGAGCCCCAGAGCCAATAAATCTAAGTGACCAAGAAATAGCCAAACTTTCAGATGCACAGTTCAAAACACCGGTGATCAGGATGTTCACAGAACTGGTTGGTTTTAGGAATATATGAAGGCTAAACTAATTGAAATGAATGGTAATACACAGGAAACCAATAGTAATGGAAAGGAAACTGGGACTCAAATCAAAAGAGTGGACCAGAAGGAGAAAAAAAATGACCAAACAGAAAAGGATGAAGAAACAAGAATTCAAAAAAAGGAGGAGAGGCTTAGGAACCTCCAGGACATCTTTAAACATTCCAACATCCGAATTATACGGGTACCAGAAGGGGAAGAGGAACAGCCACCAGTGGAAAACTTATTTGAACAAATAATAAAGGAGAACTTCCCCAATCTGGCAAAAGAAATAGACTTTCAGGAAATCCAGGAAGCTCAGAGAGTCCCAGCGAACTTGGACCCAAGAAGGAACACACCAAGGCACATCATCATTACATTAGCCAATATTAAAATGAAGGAGAGAATCCTAGAAGCAGCAGGTGATAAGGGGACAGTCACCTACAAAGGAGTTCCCATCAGACTGTCAGCGGATTTCTCATAAGAGACCTTATAGGCAAGAAGGGGCTGGAAAGAAGTATTCCAAGTCATGAAATCCAAAGACCTACATCCAAGATTGCTCTATCCAGCAAAGCTTTCATTTAGAATGGAAGGAAGATGAAGTGCTTCTCAGATAAGATCAAATTCAAGGAGTTCATCATCACCAAGCCCTTATTATATGAAATGTTAAAGGGACTTACCTAAGAAAAAGAAGATAAAAAAGATGAACAGTGAAAGAACAGCAAATTCACAGTTATTAAGAACCATACCTAAAACAAAAGCAAACTAAAAGGACAGCTAGATCAGGAGTGGAAACATAGAAATGAAGATCACATGGAGGGTTAGCAACAGGGGAGTGGGAGGAGGAGAAGGGGGGAGAAGGTACAGAAAATGAGTAGCATATATGGTAGGTAGAAAATAGATAGGGGGAGGGCAAGAATAGTATGGGAAATATAGAATCTAAAGAACTTGAGACATGTGGTCATAAACTAAAGGGGGGGAATGGTGGGGGAGGGGGTGTGCAGGGTGGAGGGGAATGAAGGAGGGAAATAGAACTGTAATGGCATAATTAATAAAATATGTTAAAAAAGCAAGAAATCGTTCTGGTTAGTTGTGTTAAAACCATAAGATGAGGTGTGAATTTTACACTTAAAAGCACATCTCAGTGTGGACTTGCCACATTTCAAGTGCTCAATAGTTAATGCACTTAGTGGTTACTATACTGGCCAATGCATAGTAAACTAAAAAAACCCCGAATAATAACAGTTAATTTTAAATTGCTGATCCTCTGTGGAAGCAATTTTGACTCTGAAATTGTAATAATATTTTTATAGGCTTACTGTATTGTTATACCCTATTGCATTATTATTTTCTAATGGATGGCCAGAATACTGTTATTATTAAGCATTATAAGCAATAAAAGATAATAAAACAGCTATAGTTATTAAAATAAAATAGTCCTTTGCATATAATTATGGTTACCTCAAAAAACTCAAGAGAGTCAAGTGGAAAATCACCTGAAATTAAGAAGCCAAGAACACAGCCAGATTTCAAAGATGCTTTAAAAAACCAAAAGCTTTGATATATACCAATGAAGAAGTTTTAAAAAGCAGCCTAAGTGGAACAGTAACAAAAATAGTCTATATCTAGGGAAATACTTAAGAAGAAATAAAGTTCTGAAGAAAACTGTAAAACTTCACCAGGGGACCTAAAAGGAAACTTAAAAAATCCTGAGCAAAGACGTCCACTGTCCCTAAATTAATAATTTTTTATACAAGTAAATGACATAAGAGCTGCCAGAACAATTTAAAAGAGAAATACCCACTCTTAGATTAATAACTTAAATATGCTGTAAAGCTACAAGGTTAAAAACACTATGGCACTGAGCCAAACCAAACAGAACAATGTAATAGAAATACACTCCAGACATCAATCCTACTATAAGTATGCAAAAGTATATGATAAAGAGGTATCTTAAATCAGTAATGAAAGTAAGACTCATTAAAAAATGGTATTGGAACCATTAGTTAAGAATTTAAAAAATTCAGGAACTCTCTACCTAACCATGTGCCAGTAAATTTCAGATGAATTAGTCTAAATAATACTGAAGAACTAATAGAATTAAGTCCTATTTATTTCTGACCTATGAAAAAAGCAATTTCACATGCAGAAGCATATATGTTTATATATATATACATATATATACACACACACACACACACACACACACACACACATACACATCTATTTTAAATCCACTGTATCATGACTGTAAATTCTCTGGCAAAGAGCCTTTTCCCAGGGAATAGATTCACTTACAGGGAAGTGATCATGCAGTATGAAAAGTTCTGAACAACCAACTTAAAAACGTAATTCTCTGACAACTAGAACAGTGGTCCCCAACTTTTTTGGTACCAGGGACCAGTTTTGTGGAATACAGTATTTCCATGGACCAGGGCAGGGGGGATAGTTGCAGGATGATTCAAACGCATTACATTCAAGCTCACCTTCTGCTGTGTGGCCCCGTATAGGTCCACAGGCCAGAGGATGGGGACCCATGAACTAGAATATCTCACTTACTGACTCAAAAATTTTTCTACACTCTAATTTTTCATGATTACCACAGACAATGTATGTATGAAATTTAGGATGGCTTTAAAAACAGTACCTCAGGGAGAAGAAAATTTATTAAATGATGGATGAGTAATAACAGAAGTTTGATAAGAGAAAAGAGGCAACATTAGAAAGTTGGGTCAGCTTTGGTACTCCCAAGTCTTATTTTATAGCCTTTAATACAACAATAAATTTTTACAGGAAAAACAAATTTTGCCATACACTTTAAAAACGACTACAATTTAAATAAAAGACACTACACACTACAGAAACATTTATTTTGTTCACATGAAGCATATTGTTAGGTTGGCGGGAATTCCCATCTACATGTTGGTGGGAATTGTGGGCAGTTTTCTTAAAGGAAAAGAAGGATATTTTACTGGTTACAAAACGATAACAATTATGATACCCCTTTGCTCTTAATGTACATGTACCCCATATCAGATAATTTTCGTGAAGTTTTATGCCCTTTGGGGCATTTATTACATCATTTACAATGTTTTTGAGTTTGGGTATATTTTTTGTATGCAAAGGGATGCAAAATGATACAAGAAGGCAAAGGGCCAGGTAACTTTGGAATGGTCAGAATACACTAAGAAAAATTTACATCAAAAAAGCACCCAAAGTAGCACCTCATTAAAACAGACTATCAAAAACAGACGATCAAAACACAGGCTTGCGAATGCATCTGTTTCATAGTCCAGAAAATTTTGCATCTATAATAGAAATAAAATGCTAGTATAAGGTTTCAAACAGACTCATTACATACAACTAAATTTTAAAAAGTTTATTTAGGAAAGTAGAATTTTATCCCAACAACAGAATACTTATTCTAACATATCCTCCTATCCCCACCCCTTTGGGGTAGATATCCATTAATCATACAGGAGAGCTCAGGATGAAAATAAGAGCTTTTAGAATCAAGGTGGTTTGCAATAATGCTTAAACTACTTATCAGGTGAGGCAAGTCATTTCAATTTCCTGAGCCTCAGTTTAGTCACCTATTAAATGCAGAATTACTGTAAGGATTAGGTATCATGTCTGTGTAAGTACCAAGAACACATTACTCTGGTGGGTGATAGAAGCAGTAAATGGCTTGTTTCAGTTTCCTTTAAAGTTGATTCCTCTAAAGCTTGGGTCAGATATAGGTCAGGGTTTCTTAACATCAGTGATACTGATATTTTGGGCCAGATATTATAATTCCTTGTTGTTGGGGGCTGTGCTGTGTGTTGTGAAATGTTTAGCACTCAGTGGGTTATAACCTTTAGCACTCTAGTGGGTTTCTACCCACTAGATGCCAGCTGTAACCTCCTGGTTAACAACCAAAATGCCTCCAGATTTGCTAAATGTCCTCTGGATGAAAAACATACTCTGGGGGTAATAAACAAAAAAAAACCTGGTTGAGAACTAGCAGATGATGATTTGAAAGTGTTGACTTGTGAAGAAGGGAATGATAGCACAAAGTACTTAGTTGTATCTCAGGGCCAAAAGGAAAGAAGGCAGAAAGTCCCAGTAACTTGCCTTAAAGGCATTATTAATTATTGGGTTAGCCAAAAAGTCTGTAAGGTTTTTTCCATAAAATAAAAAACATTTTTCATTTTCACCAACTTTATTGATTTGGTTATTTTGAGTATGTCAGCTATCTCCCATGTGGTATGTTGACTGTCCTCAATGTCTTGATTTGATCACTATCAACTTCAACTGGTAGAGCATTGTCCATCGAGAAATCTCCAGCAGGAACCTTTGCAAACCACTTTTGACATGATTGATCAGTCACAGAACCCTCACCATACACTGCACACATCTTTTTTTGCATTTCAGCTGTTTTTACCTTTCTTGAAATAATACGGAATATGCCAAAATGTTTTGTATTTTCTTCCATCTTCAATGTTACAGTGGCTACACAAAAATTCACCAATTTTTATATTTTTTTAAATGCATGTTGACATGATAGCTGTCACAATATAATCTAACATAACTGTTTAGAAAAAAGTTAAAAACAACTAAGTGCTACTAGAGCCATCTTCCGGAAAAAAACGAAACAAACTTTTGGCCAACCCAATAATAACAGAACTGAGATTAAAAGCTGGGTTTCATGATTCCTGGTCTCCTTCATTCACTGCTGCAATGATTATAATAGCAAAGAACTGGCAATGACCTTTTATCACCAGGCAAATGGATAAATTATAGTACATTCATGGATTGTATCAATACTTTTCAACCTTTTTCATGTCATGGCACACATAAACTAATTACTAAAATTCTGCAGAATACCAGAAAATACATTTTTTGCTGATCTGACAAAAAGTAGTTGTAATTTTGATTCATGCACACTGGATGGCTATTATGTTGGCCGTTGTCATTTTTTTATTTGACAGTTTAAAGGAAAAGAGGTCAGTGCCCCTTACTAAAATAATCAAGTACTGCACGTTTTAAAAAATCTTGCAGCACACTGGTTGAAAGTCACTGGATCAGATTATTACACAGCAGTTAAAATTAACAAAAAAGCAGATACATAGATTAATTGATAAGTTTTACTACTGTGTGAAAAGGGCAAATGTACAAGGATACATATGGTATAATTCCATTTATTAAAAAATCTGCAAACCAACACTATATATTCTTTGTGGATATATAAACATGTATAAAATATAAAAACAGGCATGGCAATAGTAAATATTAAATTCATGACAGTGGTTATCTGGAGGAGGAGGTAGGAAAACTGGATTGGGGAGGATACAGAGGCCTCAATTATATCTACACCTTTTTATTTAATAAAATCTGAAGCAAATATAGCACAAGATTAATACTTGGTAAAGCTGGTTTGTGGGTACGAGATATTATTTGAGAAGATATTACTCTTCTCAAATATTTGTACATCTGATAAATTTAATAAAATAATGCACTTTAGATAAAGTTTTCAAGAATGTAAGTTAAGGTGTCAAATAAGAGCCAAGGCTTATTAGATGCTTAGTGTGTAACAGGCACCGTCCTATACCGAAATGACGACTGGATGAGACAGGTAAGTCATGTCCATTTTACAGATGAGGAAACTCATGCTAGGAAGTTAGCCAAATTCTGCCCATTCAACTATTAAGGGGGAAAACAGGACTTGAACCTAGGTCTTTCTGAACCTCAAAGTCTTTTGATGTGTTGTTCCTTTATCACCCAAACTAGAGTATCCCACTCCACTCTGAGTCACGCTATATTCCCTTACCCGTTTTTTTTTCCCCCCCAGGACAGTTACCACAACCTAGAATCATATTATAACTTGATAGTTTTTCTGTTTGTTGTGTATCTCCTCATCTAGAATATAAGATTCATGAGAAGTGAAGCTTGGCCATATTTACTGCTATAGCCTTAGTGCCTGTAATATAGTAAGTACCAATATTTGTTGAATGACTACTGCTGACACTCTTATTCTCATTTACTTTGTTAAGACTGTCATTCTATGTAAAAAGACTGAATAAAATAGGGGTACTAAAGAAACATACACATATTAGCTATTTTTTTAAAGTAAGCAAAGTCAGTTGAGCGTTTATATTGTAATAAAATGTCTAAACTTACCTCTACAGGAGGATAATAGTTATAATTCCAGTACCAAAATGTTCTAGGTAGATAACCCTTGATTAAGTGGTGTTCTGGTACAAAGGGATGAAAAGTTTCTTTTCCAGTGGTATCTCTGGAATCTCCTGCTTCTACGTTTATAATTTCCATGCATCTTCCCAGTGCTAAATCTTCAATGGAGGAACTATGTGTACATTTCTCTGTTTTAAATGCATCAACAAATCTCTTCAAGGCTTCTTTGCTCAGTACATATCCTGCTCCTCCACTCATGTAGCCCTGCTTTACGTACGGCTTAAACCTTCTCCCAAAGTAAATGGGTTCTTCAGGGTTGTGTTTTGAGAGTAGCCATCTCAAATTGTCTAGTATAACGTATGTATCATCATCTGCTTTCAAAAACCAATCAGCATCTTCTAGATAGTGATCATGAACATACTGAAAAGCTTTAATTGTTTTCCAGTATAGCTGGTCTCTGCCTTCTCTGGTTTTTAGTCCCACAGCAGGGAAGTCTTTATTTTCTTCTGAACTCATAAACAATACTTTATTACAGCGTTGGGCCCATGTTGCTTTGACATGTTTAGCCTTCTTCTCTAGATTTTGGGGCCCTGTCATAACCCAGCAAAGAATTTTAACCTTCTGGTAGAGGTTTTCAGCAATGTCTGTGTTCTCATCTATTAAACAAAAAAATTTTAAGTTATATGTACACATAAGTAAAATCCAAACAAATTATGCTGAAGAAGACATTTTCTTAAACAATTTCAAGGAACCACCCCCACCCTGCTTCTATTTACCTAGCTACCATTTAGTGATTTAATTTGAAAGAAAGCAAAACTCAACCTAATATGAACTGACATTCTGATTCACTGGTTTCTTGTCAATCTTCAGGAGGTCACTGGAGCTAACAAGAGCTGTCACTACGAATTAAATTCTTATTGTTTCTTTGATTCATTGGCCAAATAGCAACAGCAACATGTGGGAGTTTGTTAGAAATGTAGCATCTCAGGTCCCACCCCAGACCAACTGAATCAGAATCTGACTTTTAACAAGTTCTCCTGGTGATCTGTGTGCATTTCACCACCTTAAGAGAGTCTGCTTTTCACTTCATTCTACAAAGAAAGTTCCAGCTGGTTCTTAACAGAAAACTGACAGGAATTTTTCATTGCTCTGAATAAACTCTGAAAGTAGCAGTTCATTCTGAAGCTCACAAGAGTACCCTGGAATGAATTTTTACAAGTACTCTGAGGTAGCTTCAAAAAGGTTTTCCCAACTACCCCAGTTTGATGAAGAGGCATTAATGCACAGTTGAGATTACTTCTAATAGTAATACCTCATTACAAATTCAAATCCACCAGTCAGAAAAAGAACAGATGAATAGGTGGAGGTAATATTTCCAATATTATCTAGAGTAGTGTTTTCCAAAGTATGGGTTTGCAAAGAAAATGTATTAGGAGCTTACGCTGGAATATAAAGCAGCATATTAATTTTCTCATTGAGGAAGTCTTGCTTTTTTCCCTCCTCCCTCAAAAAAAAAGTCCTAAAACAGTGGACTCTAATGATTTACATCCTGTATAAGCTCCTTCTCTGGGTGCAGACAGGTAACATAGGCTGTCATGCCAGGACCACATTTTGAATAACCTTGGTACAGAAGAAGAGTCCAACTATAAGATTCTAGATCAGTACTTGGTGAGGACCAATTTTTATTTCCAACAGTTAGAGAACTATACTTTTATAAACATGCTAAAAGTGAAATACTGAAAAATAAAATTTAAAAACATATATAAAATACAAGCCCAAGTTCTTATATTTAGATTTAGACAAAATTACTATCAAATTACCATAAAGTTTCTAACTGTTTAAGTGTGATTTCAACACTAATTGAAGTCTGAAAAAATCTATAATGCATGTAGCAAAGCTCTAGGTAAAATCCTCAGAAAGCATATCCTTCAAGTTAAGGTCAACCAGTGAGTTACGAAAGCTCAGTCCTATGAAAAATTAATGACGAAGACAAAACTTCTAGCTAACTGATTGAGAGAGTCTAGAAGGCAAAGTTGGAGCAGGGCATGAAAGTGCACTCATGCTCCTCTGAGTATCAAGAATCACAATCCGAAAACAGACAAAATCACCCTCTTTCCAGTCAGAGCGCACTCATGATTCTTATACTTGGGAGCCCAATCTCCTAGCTATAGAGATATATCAAATCTTCACTCATTAATTACTTTGTAGTAAGCATGTGCTAGCACAGGAGATAAAAAGATGAGTAACACACATGTGCAAACCTATACTTGCCACATACCAGGGAGATAAAAATATGCTACAATTTAGGAGGTAAGTACAAAGGGTTTGATGTGCTGTGGGAAAACAAAGCTGTGGGAACATGGCTAGAAAAGAGAGAAAGGGGAGATAAAGCAGTATCAGCAAAAATAAGAGATGACGCAGAAAAGCAGATGTTCACCAAAGCAAAGGGCAAAAGGTATGGTCAAGTTTGGCTGAGTGCAGGTACATGGGTTATACTAAAGATCTGAACTAGGGGAAATGCACTATGGATTGAGAGAAGAAATCTGAAAAATGGTATAGAAGGTGAAGTGTTAGATTTAAGTCACAAATGAGACTGACTGGTAAGCAAAGAAAAGTATCTACCATGACTTCACTTTCTAGCATAGGCAGGTGGTAATAAACTATATAAAATAAGAAAGGAAGTAGAGAAGTTTTAGGAGTAGGAAGGAAAAGAAAAAAAAGGAGTTTATTTGCACATGTTAAGTTTGAGGAAAACAGACAACTTTTAGCATCCCCTTCATTTTGTATATGTTCCTGCAGTTAAGAACAACCTAGCATAGCCTGCTAGCAGTAGAGGAGCCTCAATCCAGTTGATCATTTCAACACCTGAAGCAATGCTACAGCGCAAGTACACAGTGATCAAACTGCTTTACAATAAGAACACAGAGCACCTGCTTGGAGCTAAAATATAAACATTTACACAACATAATACAATTTGTAAAAGTGTGCATGTGCTTGCTAGTTCACAAAACTCAACCAAGATTTGACATCTTGCCCTAGAACCTCTGCTTGAGAGGTAGGAAATAGGTAATTTACAGCCAGAAAGGTAAGAGAACCAACTCTTAATACGGATCCTCTGCATCCTGGAGTTCTAATTATTTTCAAGCTGCTTGTATTCCATTCTTTTCTGTTACATAAACCACAACATTTGCAGAGATCTCTGAACTGTGTTAATGCCTTATAGTATCTAGAATAGGGTTGGATATAACGACAGTAAAGAAGAGATGGAAATTAAAACTATAGGGGCTGATGACATCACACAGGCAAAGAAGAGCCAAAGGACAGAAACTTGGAGAAAAACTACATTTAATGGGCACACAGAGAACTTACTTGAGAAAATCTAGTTAGAGATATGAGGACAGGAAAAAATGAAGTCATAACACATACTAGCTTTCTAATTCCTTAGTTCTTTATTCTTCTCAAAAGGAAAAAAGATTAGTGATATTAACTATTAATAAAAATATAAACTGAAATTTATATGTAACTCTTACATTTCTTTAAGGAAACTTGATAAGCAAAAACTAATACCAAAATAAGACAAAAGCAAAATTCAAAGACACAAACCATGATAACAAAATTAGACTAAACAAAAATTTTCAGAAGCAAATCTAGTCTGAATAGTTTTGCCTTTCCCAAAATTACAACTTCTGAACCATTCCTCCTGAAAAATAAATTCGAAATTAATATTTTACTACATAATACATCTAGGTTTTAGCAATTTCCTTTTCTAAGGCAAACCAAGAATGTCATTTAATATCTGGAATTAAGATCATTTTTATCAAAAAATACAGTGCAGTAAATTAACATATAGTGTGATATAATTAATTCACATAACTTTTCCCAAATTTTCCAATATTTATACAGACTGAAAAATATGATTTATGTTTACTTCTTTAAACTGTACCTTTATGTTGGCTAGCATCTGCATTGAAGTTCATCTGTCCTTTTAGATGATTCTGTCCATTATCATCTGAATGTCTAGCATGAGGATCATTATGAAGAATCTTAGGCTGGGTGTCACCCTGTTCTCCCAACAAAATACTTAATAGCTGAGAACATAAAACAAATCCAATTGCTGATCCACAGAGGAAGATTAAAAAATTCAGCCAAGATTTAGAGGCCATTTCCCGAAAGTGAATTTCTGTAAGAAAAAAAAAAATAGCAGGATGTTATAAATTACAGAGCACTACACATACCAAAAGTAAAAAATCTGATAACTTAGCTACACTGAAAAGTTAATTCCTTTCCTATGAGAGTATATCTAAGAGTATTTAACTTTTACCTATGAGTTTATCCCTTTGCTGCTAAAACAGCATATTATGAACAAGTCAATATAATGAATAATCATTGCTACGGTGGGACATGGGTGAATATGAGAAAACATGAGGAATATGATCCTCAATCAGGATCACTTGAGGGGCATTTAAAAATATACAGATTTCCAGGCTCAATGATTGAGATTTCAGATATAAGAAAAAAGTGCTGGGACAACTAAAATTTTTATCTTTACTAAGGAAAAGCATTGTGTTATCCACCTTTAAGCTTTGTTTAAAAAAAACAAAGCACACAATAAAGCATAGCATTGAGAAAGAAATTCCCCAAAATCCCATCAACCAGAAACAACTCTTGGTGAATACCATTACAGATATGAATAACATCTTTATAAATAACAGAATAGCTTTACAGAATTTGGATTTATACCAGTTATGCTATTTTAAAGACTTAACATATTAAGGTAGATTTACTTGAATGTTTTTTTTTAAAAAGGGAAATGATGCAAATCTAAACAAACTCTGATTGTCAGCTACACATTTCTGACATTTACCTCTCTTGAGCAGTCCTCCTTTAAATGATCCCTTTGAAGATAAAGATTATGGAAAACATAAAACAACTGAAGGCATGCACTAAACTTGTATGATTAAAAACTGAATAATGTTGGTAAGAAAATCAAACAAGACCTAACTAAATAAATGGGGAGGCAGAGCATGTTCAGGCATTAGAAGACTCAACATAGTAAACATGTCAATTCTCCCCAACTAGATGCACGGGTTTAATGCAGTTTCTATGAAAATCCCTTTAAGATTTCTTATACAGACAAGATTATTCTAAAATTTACATATGAAGGCAAATAAAGTAGAGTAGTTACAACAATTTAAAAAGAGAAGAATATGGGAAGAATCAGTCTACCTGTGTTTAAGACATCATATAGTGCCTAAAACATTCTCTGTATCTATGATTCGGTTTCTGTTCTGCTTGGTTCATTAATCTTTTTTAGATTCAATTATTGATAGATATTACTGCCATTTTACTGTTCATATTTTTGATCTTCTTCTTAAAGGAGACCCTGTAACATTCCAAATAATACCAGTTTGGTAGAGATAAACTCCTTTAGCTTTTTCTTGTCTGGGAAGCTCTTTATCTGTTCTTCAATTCTAAATGATAGCTTTACTGGGTAGAGTAATTTTGGTTGTAGGTTCTTGCTTTTCATCACTTTGAATATTTCTTGTCAATCCCTTCTGGCCTAAAAAGGTTCTTTTGAGAAATCAGATGACAGTCTATGGAAGCTCCCTTGTACATAACTAAATACCTTTCTCCTGCTGATTTTAAGATTCTCTTTCATCTTTGGCATTTCAATTATGATGTATCTTGGTGTACGCCTCTATGGGTTCATCTTGTTTAGGGCTCTCTTGTGCTTCCTGGATTTGTATGTCTATTTCTACCACTAGGTTAGAACAGTTTTCTGCCATTTTTTAAACAAGTTTTCAATTTCTTGCTCTCTTCTTCTTCTGGTACTCCCATGATGAGAATGTTGGTACTTCTAAAGTTGTCCCAGGTGCTTCTTATACTATCTTTATATTTTTGGATTCTGTTTCCTTTTTGCTGCTTTGATTAGGTGTGTTTTGTTTCAGGTTTTTTGTTTTTTGCTTCCTTATATTACAAAATCACTGATTTTAGTCTTGGCTTCTTCCACTCTACTGTTGATTCCCAGTAAATTATTCTTCAATTAGTGTATCCTTCATTTCTGACTGGTTCTTTTTTAATGCTGTTGATGTTCTAAATTCATAGAGCATCATTACAAACACTGTTTTGAACTCTGCATCTAGGAGATTGATTATCTTCACATTGTTTAGTTTTTTATCTAGAGTTCTGTTCTGTTTTTTCATTTGGGCCATGTTTTTTTGTCTCATTTTGGCAGCCTCCTTATGATTGTTTCTATGTATTGGGTAGAGCTGCTACATTTCCCAGACTTGGTAGACTAATGCAGCAGGTGTCCTACAGGGTCCAGCAGCACAGTCACCCCTGTCACCCAAGCTGGGCATTCCAGATGTGTCCCCCATGTGGGTTGTATACCTTTCCCCTTATAGTTGAGCCCTGATTGCTCCTGGCATGTGAGTGGAAGGGATTTACCTAGGCCAATCACCTATGAGGACTGGCTGTAACCAGTGACCACCAACTGCTTACCACCATGGAGGATCAGCTGTGCAGAGACCCAACCCACTCAGCAGGACTTACTTTAGCAGGCTCTGGTACCTGTTGAATCTGCCCCTTTAGTATGTCTCTTGTGGAGGTTGTTGGGTGGTGGTGCTTCAATGCAGTCTGAAGTCATCCACTGGATGCATAGGCTCTGGGGCTTGCCAGGAGATACAGGCCAAGGTCAGCCACCATGTGTATTCTTCCCAGGGTCACCCAGCATAAACTACAAAAAAATCTGCAGATGGCTGCTACTTGTGCTGAGCTTAAAGGTATCCAAGTAAAGCTAAGCTGTGAAGCAAGGCCAGCTGTTGCTAGTACTGGGCTTGGGGCCACTTAGCGAGAGGTACAGGACTCAAACACACAAACTACATGCTGCCTGTTTTGAGAGAATTTAAGAAAATCTCAAGTATGAACCACATAAGTCATTCATATGGAAAAGCCAGTGGAAATAGCTTGGGCGGGCCCTGAAGTTGGGTAGGGCCTCAGGGAATCACCAGGGAGAGGTAAACAGAGTGAGCCAAATTGATGGAATCTCAGATATGGCAACCTCCTGCTGGCTGTGGGGGGAGGGCTCATCAAAGAAACAATGACCTGTGCTAACACTCTTGTCTGAGGGAAGGCTGCCGCCTCAGTTGTTGCCCTGATGCCAAACAAATCAGTTCCTCCCTGTATAACTCTGGTGCCTTTTAAGTAGCTGTCCCAGCGCTGGAGCTCAGAGGGAGTGAGTCAGAGTATGTCCATGTGCAAGCCCAAAAGTACCTGCATGAGACTTCAGCAGCTTCCATGTTCTTCAGCCTCAAATCCTGCTGGTTTTCCTAACCAATAGTTATGGGGACTTTTCTTCCTGGCACTGAAGTCCTGGGCTGGAGGGCCCTGTGTGGGGATGGGACTCCTTATTCCTCAAAGGGGTCCAAGGGGTCCCTCCACAGTCAAGATACCCCTCACACTATCTATCTGCCACATGCAGGTGTGGAACCAGCCTTTCTGTGTCTCCACCCCTACCAGCAGTGTCAGTGTGGCTTCTTCTTTACATTCCTAGTTGTACGCCTTCCATTCAGCCAGATTTCAGGTTGAGCACCTGACACACCTTGATATGCTGACAACTTGACTAAAAGTGAGACCTGAATATTTAAAGGTCTTATATATAACCCAGAAAAACCTAATATGGATGGATCAGTACTGAGATACTGAACTTCATGCTTGAAGAAAAAACAAAACATAAAAACTCTTAATTATCCCCCCAAAAAGCAAGTCAAAGGCAAAATATTAGGCAGAACTGCAAAAGAAAAAAATAACAGACAATTTTCTCCTCTTTTGGCTAAAAAAACAAAACTAAAAAACCCTGCAAAAACCCCAAGCAGGCCAATAGACTTAAATTATCAGTAATTTGTCATTCAAAAATCAAGAGAACAGAAAGACACTTTCTAATATGAAATGATTCAGTACACATATACTCTAAGTACCACCACCTACCTAACAATATAATTCAACTGAGAGTCAAATTCAGATTTAACTGAATTTAAAGAAAAACACAAAATTCACAAATAAATAAATCATTCAATGAAAGGGTTAGCATACAACATGAAAGGCTGTAAGCCTTTCCAATATAAAACTGTGGAGTAACTGTGTGTGGTAATTATGAAATGTTATTATTCTGAAAAGAAAAGCTACAGAGAGTAAAATATATTTAACTACAATACACCTAGGCAGCAAAGACATAAATGAAAAAGAAGTGGGGGTTGGAGAGAATATGCTAAGAAATACTCTGATTATATCACAGGGGTAACAGTTCTTTTTTAGTTTAATTACAAAAATCTTCAAATGAATATGAAAATGATACAGGGTGCAGCGGGGGGGGGGGGGGGGGGCAAAAAACAGATTTGGAATGGTGTCCAGAATTCAAAGTGTATAGAAATATTGGAGAGACATATAAGATGTCCTCACCGCCCCCCCCGCAGGGGGAAGGGATGAATGGAGCCAGGCCATTGAGAGCTGTTTTGCATAGCAACAGTTTTGCAGCTAACCTCTGGAATGATTATTTAACATATCTATAACCTTTAACGGGTTTCATAGATATGTTAAATAGCTGTGGCCAAGTTTGGAGCCAGGGAGAAGGTTGGGGCAGGGACTCAGGATGTAACTAAGGGCTGCTCTCCTGAGTGAGAAAGACTGGGACTCAGGAGGATGCAACTAAGGTCTGGACTCCTGAGTGAGAAGGGCTTGGACTCAGGAGGTAATGAGGGGCTGCGCCCCTGAGGGAGGGCGCCGCTGTGTGGGAGCTTGGAAAAGACTGGCTCCGAGACATGAAGGGTCCCCGCTTGGCCAGATGGAGAGAGAGCCACGCGGTTTCAGCAGAGTGAGGACCCCCTCTTGGTGAGGTGAAAGAGGGAGCCACGTGGTTTTGGCAGGGTGGGGACCCCCTCTTTCCCAGGTGAAAGGGAAAAACCACGCAGCTTTGCCAGAAGGGAGATCCCTGCAGCCAGGTGAAGAAGACAGCCACATGCTTTTGGTGGAGTGCGGACCCCTGCAACTTTGGTAGAAGAGGCCCACGCGGCTTTGGGGTGCCCCCTTTGGCCGCGGGGCCTGAAAAAGCAAGAGAGACTTTGACTGGAACTGGGTACAAAGGACTCTTGCCAGTGGACCATGAGAGGGTACCACAGTACTTTG